TTTTTTTTTCCATTTTTGTGCTGAATGTTTTAGTTTTCCATTGGGGTGCTAATTTGAGCTTTATATTCACATTTTTAATTAATCTTTTATGTCAGTGATCTTGGGAATGCTGGCTTATCAGGTCAATTGGTTGGGGATCTAGGCAAGCTGAAGAATTTGCAGTATTTGTATGTTATCCTTTTATTGTTTGGAACCAATACTCCTGTTTTTCTGATTAAAAGATAATTTTCTTCTGTTTTTCGTCTTGTTTTCTTTCCCAATACAAACATTTCCTGTCATTTCAGCAAATGATTACTGTGATAGAAATGCAGAAGTGTTGCTGAAAGTAATATTGAAACTTCAATATTTATAAATGTCTCTTTGATGGTTTCTGCTGACACCATTTACATAGAATATTTGGCTATTAGGTTTAAGGGGAAATGGGAATGCATATTGAGGGAAGCATGGGATTCTGTGTGGGTTATGGAGAGGTTTACTTCAGCCGGTCTTACTTGAGTTTGATTTTAGCAGTCGAAATAGTGGTTGTTCAAGTGTAGAGGTTTTTGCAGTTAGATGTAGCTGGTTTATGTCCTTCTATAACTTTCAAATGCTCAAGTTGATGTAGTAAGTGAACTTCGGTTGAAGAAAATTGTGTTACATCTTATATTACTTTAATCAGTTTAGCACTTTAGGCACATAAAGAATCTAAACTATCTTAAATCCCTCATCTTCATATAATTCTTGACATGCATAAATTGTTTTCTGAAATAGATTAAATACAATAGCAACAGCTTTCGAGTTTCTTCGTATTTGGAATTAATTGATTGAGCTTTGAAGTGACAAAAATGTTACCTATCACAGTTATGTTAAATCATTTATTCGAATGTTTGGATGTATGGTATATCTTGGATTTGTATATTATCTCAGTTTTCAATTCCCACTAGAATCTGTCAATGAGATAACTCTCTGATTCAGAGTACATTAACTACTGTCTTTAACAATATCTTGTCTACCAAACATGATTAAACATGCATGCAGTAACATTGGCCCAAGTACGCATGCTACAAGTACGCATGCTACAAATGTTACCAAAATTGACATTGTTGTTCAAATTTGCAATATGTTTTGTAATTAAACTTTCCTGTACTTGAACTGATACCCTCTGTTAATTCATTGTGCTAGGGAGCTATACAGTAACAACATAACAGGGCCAATACCAAGTGACATTGGGAATCTTACTAATTTGGTGAGCTTGGATCTGTACTTGAACAGTTTCACGGGTCCCATTCCAGACACACTGGGCAAATTATCCAAGCTGCGATTCCTGTGGGTGAAGTCATCTTGGGCTTGCAAAATAATGTTCCATTACTTATATTTTCTGTGCTTCCCATTTATTTGCATTTTCTTTCTTTCTAGACCCCAGGAGGAGTTTGATACATGTTCTGAATCTATTTTTTAGGAATCCAGAATCTTATAGTAACTGTTTTGTCTTTGCAAGGATAGTCGGCTAAATAATAACAGCCTGACGGGCTCCATCCCAACTTCGTTGACAAATGTCACTTCTCTTCAAGTCCTGTGAGTATCAAACTTTTACGTGCATGGATCATTTCAAAAGAATTACGCCTGAGGTTTTGTTACCTAATTACAAGAAACTCCAGCCATCGCATAAAAATCACAAGATATTTCTCTTCAAGACTTCAACTTAATGTAATTGGTAATAGGAAAACTAATGCCACGGGGGTTTTTGTAGTTTGGAAGATAATAATTTATTGTTCTTTTGTTTTTTAATTCTTTTAAACCTCAGGGATAGTTTACCATTATATACATCATTTTTGTGACATAATTTTTCTTGAAGTATCTTTTAATTCTTGTGTCTTACATTCTTATGCAGGGATCTATCAAACAACCGTCTGTCGGGTGCAGTTCCAGATACCGGTTCCTTTTCTCTATTTACACCAATAAGGTATATTGATGCATGAACGGGCCTGATAGCTTACATCTCATGGATGCCTATTTTGAGCTGACATGGACAAATTTTGCCCATTTACAGTTTTGCAAATAACTTGAACCTTTGTGGCCCAGTAACTGGACGGCCGTGCCCCGGGTCTCCTCCATTTTCACCACCTCCACCGTTTGTGCCACCTCCCCCGATTTCATCCCCAGGTTCTTTCTTTTTAGTCTAATGTATCTTATTCTGTCTGCCCATGTGTTTATTCAGTTAGGAAAATAAGAAATGTATGGATGTTTCGTTTTGTGGTCTTGCAGTTTTACACTAAAAAGTGAAATGGCACTTGTTTATTCTGATTATTTCCGTTTAATGTCTAGTACATATTGTTGTAGCTTAAAGTACTGGAAATAGTCAATAATCTGGGTAATGAAACATTAGTGTAAATTGTGATCTATCAAGAATCTGAATTTGAGTGGTTGCTAATATTTTATTTAAAGCTTCCTTTGTGAAAATTTATGCGTGTAAACAGTTCTCCAAAAAATCACCTAGTCTAACTATGACTGATTACATTCAGTACTCAATAGCTACTAGTACAACACCCGTGTATTACACGGGTGGTTGTTAACAAAATATTCTTAAATTTTAAAATTAATCAGAAGACTATATTAAATTTAGTTTACTTTTAAAAAAAAAAATATATTACTATATATTTTAGAATGATATGTGTTATTTATGACTTACATGTGTTATATAATATTAGTTTTTATAATTTATATCATATAACTACTTGAAATATAAATATATTAGTTGATAAATAATTTTATCTTTCTAATTAATATTAAAAATAATTTTATTATTGTTATAAAGATAAATATAAATTATTATTTTTATACATACAATATGGATGTTAAATCGAACCTTATCAATAGAAGATTAATTTGATATATTACATATGTAAAACTGATAAAAAATACAAAAGTTATTAACTTTTAAAATATATATACAATTCAATAGTTATAATAAGGAATGATATTAAAATGCAATTAATACATGTAACATGACCATAAATAATCATATTAATCAACATATTTATGGTAATCCGAACCTAATTATTTTTAGTTTGGAATTAAATTAAAATTTACCCAAGCCTAAGAACGAAGCATGTAATTTTGCCACATAGGATTTCGAAGCACTAGAAGTAGCCACGTAGGCTCAGCGTGTTCTGAATTAATATATAGGGGGATGCCATACACCTCTTGTCTAAGTTCTGTTCAAATGAAAATACATTATAATACTTCTGTTTTTTACATATACTGTTGTTGTCTTTGGGATACCTGAATGAAGATTAGGCACTCAGGGAAGTACTGTGGTGGTGATTGGATGTTTTTTTATTCACTGTCTGTTGAGTCAAGATTTGCCTCATTGGAACTGAAAATGAAAGAGTTTTTTTTTTTTTTTTAAATATTCCATTCATTTCATCTCATTTATTTTTTTTGCAATTTGACTAACAACAACATCAACGTACCCAGTATATTCCTAACTGGTTGGGGTCTGGGGGTCAGTTGTACGCAGACTTTACCCTTGTAATTATACAAGGAGAATGTTTCCGTAGCGACCCAAGGTGCATTGCGTCGTTTGATATATATTTTTTTTTTCTAGAAACTTCACTAATAGAAGAAGCACTAGAATTTAATTGGGCCATTTTAATCTAGTCCATTATTAGCACTATGCCAGGAGAATTGTCAACAATGACTCTTCCAGCTCCATTTTGACTAACAAAATTGCAAAATAAAAAGTAATCATTATTATATATTTTCCAACAAGAAACATTAACCTACTCACATGTTTCTAACCAGCAAACATTATCAATCAATGTTTTATTATTTTTATCTATTATCTATTGACAATCTCAATTCTATCTCACTTTGACCATGCTCTTTAGCCGTCTCATGGATGGATATAACAGTAATATTATTTAATGTTTATTTATTTTTCCTAAATCGAACTATAAATATCAGGAGGAAATAGTGCAACTGGAGCAATTGCCGGAGGAGTTGCTGCCGGTGCTGCTCTTCTATTTGCGGCCCCCGCCATTGCATACGCGTGGTGGCGGCGCAGGAAACCCCAAGATTTTTTCTTTGACGTGCCAGGTTGGCAGATCTTTGCTCGACAAAATAACTAATCACATATTCAATCCTGCATAATAAATATGTTATGATTCTATTTTATTTTATTTATCTTCTCATTGTGCAGCCGAGGAGGACCCTGAAGTCCACCTGGGACAGCTCAAGAGATTCTCCCTGCGTGAGCTTCAGGTGGCAACTGATAGTTTCAGCAATAAGAATATATTGGGCAGAGGTGGGTTCGGGAAGGTGTACAAAGGGCGGCTGGCCGACGGGACATTGGTAGCGGTCAAGAGGCTGAAGGAGGAGCGGACCCCAGGTGGGGAGCTTCAGTTTCAGACAGAGGTTGAGATGATTAGTATGGCTGTACACCGTAATCTGCTCAGGTTGAGGGGCTTCTGCATGACCCCGACTGAGAGGCTTCTCGTTTATCCATACATGGTTAATGGAAGTGTTGCTTCGTGTTTGAGAGGTGATGCTTAATTATTTTTGTTATTATTAATATTTTTTTTTTTATAAAAATACTTTTCATTGTGAACTCTATCTTTCATTGGACATTTGACCTTTTTATTGAAAATATACCCAATTGTAACTCATTCTTTAATTGCAAAATATGGCCATTTGTTAGAAGTACTTGATGATATTATTGAAAAGAAAATAAAATTTGTATGTTTAGAGTTTTCAGTTGCTGAAGAAAAAGTTATATGGAAGCTATTTCTGAGGAAATGGGAGGAGTATTTTATTGCCGAAGAAATTGAAAAATATTGAGTAGCTGACATTTATTTCTGAGAAAACTTTTGGTAAAGTAACTCATTTATGTTCACAGAAGTCTTGAGTTGACATTTATGATTTCGATTGTAGAGACTTCAGTTCACAGTCCCGCTCACCTGCCCACGGTGGGCAGTGCAATTGAAAAACGTATTCTCAGAATACGTTTTTCATATAAAACAAACTAGTGGGCACTGCCCACTGTGGGCAGGGGAATATATTTACTTCAGTTCAAGGATTCCCTTTATCTTTCTCTTTGATAATTAATAACTATAATTTGTTCTTATACTAAGTAGCTGTAACATTTTACTTGTAAATCACAGAACGACCGCCAAACGAGCCACCACTCGACTGGCCAACAAGGAAACGAATTGCTCTGGGGTCCGCCCGAGGACTATCATATCTGCATGACCACTGTGACCCGAAGATTATCCATCGAGACGTGAAAGCCGCTAATATATTGCTGGATGAGGAATTTGAGGCCGTGGTTGGAGATTTTGGTCTGGCTAAGCTCATGGACTATAAGGACACTCACGTCACCACTGCAGTGCGTGGGACCATAGGCCACATTGCCCCTGAGTACCTATCCACCGGAAAATCTTCTGAGAAAACCGATGTCTTTGGTTATGGAATTATGCTTCTTGAGCTGATAACTGGACAGAGAGCATTTGATCTTGCTCGCCTTGCGAATGATGATGATGTCATGTTGCTGGATTGGGTAAATAAACCTCTCCCTTTACTATTAATATTATTATTGTTAATTATTATTTTTATTTACAGTTTAGGGCTTTGCCTTGGTTTTAACTTTTAAATATATTTTATGTTGTTCCTTTGTCCAAATTAAAGCTAGATTGGGGAAAATAAGAAAACACAGTAAATGATTTCAGGTTCTGGGATTCCCAAATGTTGTAGACTCTTTGCAAATGTAGGTGAAAGCTGAAAACCTACTAGTTGAATCTATCTTTCTTTCTTTCTTTCTTTTTTTTTTTTATTTTTTTTTTTT